TCTGCAATGTAGGCCCCCGAAAACTCTTGTAAGCGACCGGGATATTAGGTTCATAAGTGCAGAATGGAAGGACTTCACCTCCCAGGTTTATGACATGAAACTCAAGATGACATCTGGTCGACATCCCGAAGCCAATGGACTGGCCGAGGAGATCAACCAGACTGTGATCCAACTTCTCCGAGCCTTAATTTTGCCTGATCAGAACTCTTGGGATGCCGATCGTGCAAGGGTTGTACAACAACTCCATCCACTCCTCCACCGGGATGACGCCTAACCGGCTGCATCTTGGATGGAAAATTCGCAATCCCCTATCCTACCTGTTCCCTGAACAGCCTCTTGGTCTGACACCTGGCCAGCCAGGCTACAGCGCTAAGTATGATCGGTTGCTCAAGGTTGTTGTCGCAGCTATGGAAAGACGATGCAGTGCCATGATTAAACATGCTCACAAGAAGCGCCAGCCTGCACCATTCACAGTGGGAAGTTATATCTGGGTCAAAATGTCTGAGTTTTCTGAAGAAGAAGGTGTATCACAAAAGCTTCTTCCTCAGTACTACGGTCCATGGCAGGTTTTGAACCAGGTAGGGAGTGATTCCTTCGGTCCTTCCTACACGATTGACGTGCGCACATTTGCGCACATACCCAGTCTTTCATGCGTCGAAGTTGTTTCCGTATGAATCACCTGAGACCTTCAAATACCGAGAGTCGATGATTCCCCACGCAATCAATGGCGGACATGAGGTTGATAGGATTGTTGAACACAGTGGGAAGGGAAGAAACAGACAGTACAAAGTACATTTTCTATATCATCCGTTGGACGACTTCTATTGGATTGCTAGGAAAGACTTACTGCAGAGTGCACCGCGTGTCGTGAATGCCTACGAACGGTTGATAAGTGCTGAACAGCAACCAAAATTCACTGCTGCCCTGACTCCTATGGAACACGCCCGATCTCTCTTTGCTATCTACGCCTATAATGCACTATGCAAGGACTCTGATTGAGTTCCTCGCTCGAAGGGACCTCGCTCTTGAGGGGGGGGTAGTGTAATGACCCGTCAAAACACAGACTGAGAACACTGCTGATTTGTGAAGTTCTGCCGATGGAATGGATGCTTTGCTGAGATTCCCGCATTCTGCT